AATAGGCTGACAGCTCAGACTCTCTTCACCTGAGTGTCCAGAATATTCAGCTGCAGATCTGATGAAAAGATTACAAAATCAATCCTCGACCTGTGACCTCCTGGTGCCTCGTGCACTCGTGGACTTTGTCACAAACTGTGGTTTGCACAGAAGTCCAGTAACAGAACGCCACACGGTCCAGATCAGGCAGGCCGTTCCTCCGGGTCTCGCTGTCATTGCCGACCCCGCTCACATTCTTCACCCCGGATTTCAATGGCTTCAATCCTAATTGCTCCTTGGGGATAAATAAAGTCATTCTGATTCTAAATGGGATACATTGATACGTCCCCTAGTAGAACAACAGAGTCTCCAGGTGGAGAACCCTTGAGCGCCCCACCTAGGGTTTCCAAGAAGGCTGGGTACCCTGAACTGTCATGCAGATGACAGTCAAGACCTGTTCCCAAAGGCACAAGGAACAAACCACTCGCCCACTTGGAAAAACTCCCAACGTACAAGCAGAAAGCTGAATGAATACAAAATTAAGGGAATATAAAGTTAAAGGTGGTGTTGATTTCGCTGAGAGAATTAGTCAGTGGGAAACGGGGCTTAAAAAGCCTGGTTGACTTGTGGTGACTTGGCTGCCATCTGGGCAACACTGGACAGTTTTTATTTCAGGGAATAACTGGGAAAACAGCCATGTCTGCAAATCGCTAGAATAGAAAAAACAGTCAAATATGATGGAAAAAAAATACTTCAGAGATTTAAGTTTAATAAATGACGATATTATTCTGATCATTTATTAAACTTTTGTTGCCACGAGCTCAGTTGTTGATATAAATGGCAGGTTTTATAGCTGCTACATATTTGTTTTTCGTTTCTGCATCACGAGTTGCCACTTCACATGAACACATCTGTGTGAGTAGAACAGGCAGAGAGAGAGAGAAAGGGAGGGCTGTTTAGCAACACAAGCATCGCCACAGCCTTCACCCAAAACGAAGCTTATGAAAAAGGAAGACGTCCTCCTGCTCTCCCCGTCACCTTAACTCCTGATACTGGTCCTCTGGTGAGTCGACGCGCTGTAGACGCTATTGCTGTTGTCTTTGGGTGTATTTTGGATTTATTTTTATTTATTTATTTATTTATTTATTTTTGGCTAGGTGTGGAGTGAGCCCTGTTACACAGACATGATGAAATCAGCCATGGAGAGTGGCATATGCTGAGACGTTCTTCGTGGGCAGCACAGATTCAAATGCAAGGCTTTCTCTCAGATTACCAAAGAGAGAGTTGTTGTATCATAGCTCACAGCTGTTTTGTGCTGTCAGCTGGGTGATGTTAATAAGAGCAGCTAATGTTAGTAACTGGACCAGTTGTCACAGTCTTGCTCTGGATGTGTCGGATATTCATCAGTGTGAAACAAAGCCAGATATTATTTTCATCTTTAGGCACTGCCTTATTTTTGTTACGGTGGACGTTAGATGTAAAGGATTTATCTTACAGCAAGTAAACTGTCTAAAACTATTGTTGTTTCTAATGAAACATTTATTTATTTCCTGTTTGCTCATCTTGGTATATCCATCTCATTGTGTTTGCATTAGAATATTTAAAAAAGTGTTTTGTTTTTTTCTATAAGCAATAAAAAAAATCACGTAATCCATCAGATTAAAGGAAAAAATGAAAAGCATCTTAATAAAGTAGCTGAACATTACTAAATCAAAAAAGTTTAGTTTTCCTGAGCATCTAGTTTCATCTCAGCTGGAGGGATGAAGGCCGTTCTTCTAAAACAGCGGTCCCCGACCCACGGGCCACGGGCCACGGGCCGGTACGGGTCCGTGAGTCGTTTGGTGCCAGGACGCGAGAGTTGAAATTCATAGTTTTCAGGGTTTTTATCATTTTTATCATAAACTCTGTTTCCCTGGATCTGTTCCTGTTTGTTATGAATAAATCTTCTTTAACTGGTTTTATTTTGTTGTAAATATCCACGACACCTTAAAGGCCGTGGCACAAAAAAGGCTGATCGAAAAGACATCCTGTCATCTGCTGTTGGGTTGACAGTGTTGGGAAGGTTACTTTTAAAATGTATTCCATTACAGATTACAGATTACATGCCCCAAAATGTATTTTGTAACGTATTCTGTTACTTTACTCAATGAGAGTAACGTATTCTGAATACTTTGGATTACTTAATATATTATCATGCTGTTTACAACTACATGAATGTACTATTGCTGTGATT